AATTACACCCAATTGACTCCTAGATTTCTTGAATCATCATTCCATTGCCCGTCTCATTATGAATTATTTGCAACTTGGTCCTTGAACTTTCACTTTCTTCCATTTTGGTCCTTTTTTTCGCTTTTTTCTTCTAAATTTCAACTTTTCTACCAAGGTGATACCTGAATCAAATCATAAGTATAATTAGTACATTTTGGTATCAAATAGTAACACGAATGCAATAATTAAGAGGGGAAAATTATTATATTTTGCACTCTTATCAGTTGGAAATCCTGCATGTGAAACATGATTTCAAAGTGGGTTTTCTTTATAAATGTTTTATTGATCACTACTAGGGCACCAAGGCATGTGAGGCATGCTTATGTGATATGTTTGGCATTGCGGGGTAATATTTCCTAGGTAATTGCAAAGGTAGACAGGGGATGGGCCTTTGGTGATCACGGGAGGGTGGACCACTCGACTGTGCCCTTGTGATATTATGATTATTGGCGTTGTCGATAGGAGACTTCTTGGGTGATCATAGGGGTAGTTAGGAGATGGGCCTCTAGTGGTCACGAGAGGATGGTCCACTCGTCACATGTTAGCCATTTGATTATTGATATTGGTATTATGTAGAGCTCTATCTAGTGCATAGTAGGTGGGTTAAGGGAATGAAAGGTTTCAAATGAAACAATTTCGAGTCGACTTTGATGAATATTGGAATACGATGCTTCTTTATCGTGATGTTTAAAGTAAATGACATAGTGACATATATCGTTATTATTCATATTCATGACATGCATGATTTTTGTTTACTAAGCATTGGCTTATATAGCTCTTGCATATTGTAGGTGAGCATGGAACTACATAGAGAGCACGGCTAGCTTGGAGCTCTTACGAGATTTTAGAATTCGATGTACATAGATGACGACCTGTAAGATTATTTTGTGGACTGCTATTTTGTGTTTATGGCCTATTTTGTTGTATATTGGGGATCTACGTTGTATATCTTTTGACATGGCATGTAGACATGTTTATAAACTCAGAATATATATATGTTTGATTATGGTGATATGATTTTGGTTTAGAAACATAGCTTATGTCATTTTATCAAGTGAAAAAAATGTGTGAAATTTCATGTCTAGGTCGAGTCATCAATTTCATTACCACACAGGTTAATGGATAGTTATATATATGAAAGGTGGTGTGACTCATGAACTTAGCCGATACAAAGCTATATGATAGCACCTAATTTTTCCGATTCGACGGTATGCTGTAAATATGGTATGATGTAAATACGATATGTGGTAAATACAGTATGCTGAAAATGCGGTATGTTGCATATACGGTATGAATGAATTCAGTTCTTTTTTTGAAATTGTTTTCTTTTAGTATTAAATTATAAAAAAAAATTAATTCTTTATAACTTCTACTAAAAACAAGTTAAACAAATTTATGGCTAAAGTACAATTAATCTAGTGACGTTTCGATTCATGCGGGTCGAGGCATTACACTATTAGCATTCGCAACCAGAGACGAAGTGTTCCTGAAAGTTGTACTAATGAAAAGGGTATTTAGATTTGGGAAAACTTAGTCTCAGATATGTTGGTCATTTTGAAACCTTGGAACAGATTTGTAAAGTAGCCTATAAGTTGAACTTACCAGCTTCAATAGTTCGAATCCACAATGTATTCCATGTCCGTGCTCTTCAAAATTATGTTCTAGATGCTTCACATATATTATCGGATAATCCATTGGATCTAGAAACTAATTTAACCTATGAAGAAAGACTAGTGAAAATTTTACTTCGAGAGGTTAAACAATTACAAAACAAACGTATTCCGCTTGTCAAGGTTTTGTGGAGAAATCAAGCCTCAGAAGAAGTAGCATAGGAACAGGAAGAAGGTATGAAGATTAAATGTCCAGAATTATTTGGTAGGTTTTAAATTTCGAAGACAAAATTTCTTTACGTGAGGGATAATGTAACATTCCTAAATTTTCTATAAAGATTTTTGATATTTTAGAAAGTTTTAAAACAAATTTAGGGACTTAATTGAATTAACAGTATAGATATTTTAGGAATTATAATTAAAATAATACTATGAGAATTAGAAGTGCAATGTTATAAAGATGGAGTGATTTCATATTAACCCAATTCTCAGGTGTAATTTTATAATGAAACGAGATATTTGTATATTTATCCTAATGGTTAAAAATACAATTTCTCAAATTGTACATTTAACCCTTATCATAGGGGATGAATGTGGAAGTGGGACACGCCTCCTTTTCACTCCTTTTCTCCAAATAAGTTTGTATTTTTCTTTCTTTATTTAAGTTAATTAATTAATCAATTAATTATTTATTTATTTAGATAATCATTTCATTAATTGTTTATTTTAAGTACTTAATTGATTTATGTATAGGAATTAAAATTGAAGGAAGATAAAATTAGAATTAAATTTAATTAATTGAATCAAGGATGATGAATTATAATTTCTCTATTAAAAATTCTTAACTTCAAAAATTTTAAAAATCTATAAGTCATTTCAAGAAATAATGAGTTTAGTTTATCGCCCAACCCCAGCTTCAAATTTCCCTGCTGAAGGTCCGATTCTTGGAAGGTCCATATCTAAGTGAGAACGAACAGCCTTACCTTTGGCCCTAAAGTACAAAACCCAGACTCGCCACTTCCTTTCAATTTGCTACCAAGCTATTTATTTATTGTTGATGTTGCTGTAGTAGCGGATTTGAGAATGGGGTGGTTTTGGATCTAGTTTTGGGGGTTGAGGTGGTGCTAGTAATGGCAGTGGTGATATCTGTATATGGTGGTTGCAGTAGTTTGCAATTTGCAATGGTGATTGTGTGTTGTGTGTGACGTGTACGGAGATGCTATTGGTTCTGGTGTGGTAAGTAATACATGCAATAGTGGTATTGGGATGATGATGGTGCATCTTTGGTCAGGTTTTTTTATTTTTATTTTTATTTTTTTGGGTGGTTGGCTGTGTTGATGGCAGTTATGATGCAATCAGTGTATGTGGTGGTCACAATGATTCAGACGATGATGTTGAAGCAACCATCATGGTGATATTTAGTGGTGGTGTTGGTTGTCAACATCGTGTTGCGGTGGTAGTGGTGCTGACTTTAGCGGTATGGTTGACACGGTGATTGTGGTGCCAATTTTGGGCTACAACAGTGGTGTAGTGCAAGCAAGTTGTGTGCTGGTGATTTGTGACCAAGATTGGTACTGGATTGAGATTGGTGGTAGGGTGTTTGGTGCATGTGACCAACTATTTGGACTAATTATTAATCTTTGACCTTAAATTTCGATAATTTGTGACTAAAAAAATAATTTACGAGCAATAAATTTGAAAATATGTGACCAGTGACTTCAAATAATATGTGACTCACAAAATTTTTGATTTGTGACCACAAAATAAACTGTGATCAATTAATTCGATGATATGTGACCAGCAAATAAATATATGACCATTAATCGTATAACTGTGATTTTATTATATTTATTTAATAAATATTTTTAATTAATTACGTATATACTTAAATTTTGAATTTTTAAACTATATACTTGATTTTTGAATTAGTGTAAATAATACACCTGGATTATGAATTTTTCCCTTATTCTATTTCCATGACATATTGCCATTCACTGTCATACGTGATTTACTTAGCCTCGTTTGGCGGTCAATTTAATTGGAAGATAAAAATGCAGTAAAAAATCAGTCACTCAAATTTTAATTTGTTCTAAACTCGTCACCGAACTTTAAATTTTGTTTTTTGTTGATCGTTAAACTTTAAATTTTTTTTTTCACATTTGGCAGTCTTAAGAGGAAATTAATGTTAATCCAAATAGACAATAGCTGAGTTGCATCATGCAAGGAAAATAAAAATGATCTATGCAAAACAAAATTAATTGCCGTTGGACTTGTATGGACCAAATAACAGTTCAGTGACCAATGTGAAACAAATTAAAGTTTAAAGACCAAATTGATATTGGCCTGTAAGTTCAATGTCCAGTCGGACCTTTTCACCTACAAAAATGAGATATCAACATAGCCTCTAATAATATCTTTGGTGCAAGACTAAAAACAGATATTTTGATGAAAGATATTTGTTAACATTACCCTCCTAATGAAGATATTTTTGTGGCAATAATATCACCCCGAGCTAAGCTCCAAGAAGGTATATCTTACCTTATGGCAAGTGCATGCATCGTTGTTGCCCTACCCTAAAAGACCAGAAAATTGCACTTTAATTTCTCTTCAATGATGATCATTTTCAACTATAGATCATGTCTATGATATGCTCTTGTTAATTTTATTACGAAAATTTAGTCAAAAATTCGAAAATTGGAAGAAAACGATGGACTACAAGAGACAAAAATTTAATCATTGTAAAAAATAAATTGGAGCATTCTAAATATAAATACCGAGTGAGTAAAAAGAAGTCTCAACTTGAATATACTAATTTTATTACAAGTGGAAAAGCTAAATTGTATTCTACTTGAAACAATACAATTGGAATTTATATTCGTCAATTCGGTGTTAAGTATCGTTACGTTATGGATGATGTCACGATAATAATTCACTAAAATGCTTCTATTCCACCTTGATGCTACCAAAACCTTTCATTTTGGATCGGTTTTATAGCTTTTTCAAGGTTAGATGACACAAAAGTAGCTCTCATTGGCTTCAAGTTGGCTATGGGGTAACTACTGAAATGGACTTCAAATAGACACCATTGACAAAATACCAATAATAGAGGCTTTTCTTGTTAAATCAGTGGGGACTTTTGACCCCACACATTAAAATTAGACTTAGAATTTCCTATCAATTATAGTCGGGTCAAGTACGTGTAACTATGGAAACACAAGTATAGCAAATTCCCAAAACCAAAATGTTGAAATGGCATTGTTGGAATTTCACAACACTATAATATCTCATTAGCATAGCCTAATTGTAAGATTAAACCCAGATACGGCTTTCACTATTTGGCTATAAAAGCAAACAACCAGGCAGGCTGTCTTCAAATCAAGAAAATTCTCTAAAATCATTCTAAGGATGTCTATAACGGAAGAAAATAACATGGAGGGAAGGAAAATAGTAGTGGCAGTAGATGAAAGTGAAGAGAGCATGTATGCATTATCTTGGTGTCTCGACAACCTCTTGTCCCAAAACCATATACCAACAAGTACCCTAATTCTCCTCTACATCAGACCTCCTCTAGATGTCACTGGTAAGAGATCTCTCTCTCTCTCTCTCTCTCTCTCTCTCTCTCTCTCTCTTGTCACCACGTAGCTTAAAAGCTAAGTCATTAGATGGGGTGGTTCAACACGGTACTAGAACAGGCACAAATCCTAGGCAAGTGCTAGACCTTTGATTAAAAATGAATCTAGCATGCAGGGAGGAAATATGTTAAAGACTAAATTCATGTAACTTAAGTTTGTTAACTCGTGTTTCATTTCGAACTACTGAAGAAGAGTCCCATGATTTGTAGGGTATCTATTTGCCAATGATGTCATTGCAACCATGGAAAAACACAACAGTGACTTGACAAATTCAGTGATGAGAAGGGCGGAGGCAGTTTACAAGAACTTCAATACTACTGTATGTGTTCTCTTTCCTCTGTGTGAATGGATTGTGTGTTATGCAAAGGTACTGAAATGACGAATGGAAAATTGCAGGTCGCAGTGGAGAAAAAAGTTGGAAGTGGAGATGCTAAATACGCGATATGCACAGCTGTCGAGAAACTTGGAGCCGACATCTTAGTCATGGGAAGCCACGACTATGGTCTCTTCAAAAGGTACCTTAACTTCGCTTCTAAATTCAGCATTGTTGAATTTTCTTGTAATTCTGATTTCTGAATGCAATTACTCTCTCTTACACTTGCAGGGCTTTACTAGGAAGCGTTAGTGATTACTGTGCTAAGCACGTGAAATGCCCATTAGTAGTTGTGAAGCGTCCTAAGGCTACTTAGACACGTGATGATAACTTAATGCATTTATGAGAATAAGTGTGTACATTGTTATTTTATTTTTTATTTTTTTCCCTCAAATCGTGGGAAAAAACTTGCGGTAGGGAAGCGTTAGCATTACATATGTTAATATGTTATACATAATACCATAAACGCTCATCTTTTATGGAGTATATACATTTTGATTGATGTTGAAAGTCAAGAAAAAATGATCAAGTTTGACAGCTATCTTCAGATCAAACCAACGAGTCTAGAGAAGATGCAAGGTGCCTAACTTGTTCCTTTTGTGGAAGGAGTGAGTTGGAGGACGAAGTCCTAAATGAAACAATATAACAAGACACTTAATGCCTGACATGAGAGTATAATAAATTACAAAATACAAGGTAGGATAGCCCTAAGATATCAAGTCCAAAGTATATTGGGGTAATATACATCCCAATGTCCCCAACTTGGTATCAATCAAGCATGATACGGTTGAGATTGACCAACCCAAAAAATTTGTACACACACCAAACATGCAAACACGCAAAACATCTTGGCATCTGTCATAAATTTAAGGGAATCAAGATAATAATACAAGTTACCGAAAGGTCCATTCTTCCCATACATAATGGAGCATCCAGGATACGATAAGGATATATTCGCTCAACTTAATTTCTATAGTTGCCAAAAGTAAAAGGTTTTGGATGTAATTATACCTTTTCAAAAGGCTTGGAAATATAGTTTTTTGAAGTTTAAGGGCAAATTCTGTCTTTCTATGATAAACATAACTTTTCAGTGAAAATCGGTAGTAGAGACAACGGCCTTAACTAATGAAAAGGCCGATGTTAAAAATGTCACTCAAAAAAGTAGGGAGCAAAAGTGTAATGAGGGACAAAGATTGGGGACGAAGCATATAATTTAGCTCCATTTTGGCCCGGTTATTTGATGTTATAATTTTTGGAATAGTTTTTTGGGAGAATATGTGGTGAAAAAAATGAAAAGTTTTTATTTATGTGTAATATTATTATTATTGGAGAATGTGTAATTAAAAAATAAGAGAAAAAAATGTATTATAAATTTAATGAGGATTGGCAAAGTTTTTAGTCTACATCAGTATTAATGACCAATATACCTAACAAAACCACATTTCAGACGAGCACCAAGAAACCAAAGGAGTGAAGTTAGCTTGTTGGGGCACCATTGATTTGCACGAAGTCTATCCTAACTAAGAGCGAAGAGAAAAATGCCCAGTATGATAATATCATAATCAGTCACGACTCAATTTCCATCCAAATATCCACAAAAACTTTTGGATTGGTTTTACAGCATACAGGTATCCCTGGTACTGTGATTGCAGAAGCCCGAGAAAATAAAATGAAGGTAGGCTATTATGTTATGATAATCTAGCATCACAAGCCTAGCTCATTCAAGAAACGAGCTATGGAAGCTCAACCCATTTAAGATTTTGAAAGCTCCAAGCCATAGTTAATTAAAAGCCCAACAATTTAATATATTAAGTTTAAATAAATTTGATTACAAAGATTTAATGAATAACTAGGCTACCACAATGGTCATCCAAATGGAATTTCATATAGGTAACCCAAGTTCGAATCACCATGTAGATGTTTTTATAAAACTTTTATATGAATTATTTTTTTATGGTTTAGAGACTCTTCAAATTCTTAGTTAAAGATCAAATTTAATAAATTTAATGATAATACAACCCCCCCTCTTAGTTTTTCATTAAAAAGAAAGGTTACAAGAAGCGGAAAATCACTTTTTCACTACATTCCTCTTCAATTCCGAATTTCATCTCATTTTCTTTCAAGAAAATATATTTCATGTCAATTTAAGCTACGAGAATAACAAGAGTGAGAAGAAGAAAGACTTTTTACACATTTTGTTCTTTGATATCTAAGAAAATTCAAGGTCGGTAGAGGTGCAAGTGTTTACTTCATTTCAATTTATGATTTTCGATAAATGTTTGAATGAAATGGTATCTCTGGGTACGGTGCTTCGACATTACAACATTTTTAATAATCATTCTCTGGCTCTACGTGTTATGATAATGTTATAGTAATTGGATTTTGTATGAAATCTATCTACGTGCGATGGTATGAATCTATAGTTCGAAATTTTTAATTTGACAACGAAATGCACCGATGAAATCTATTGAGTTTCAAACTTATGGGTTAATTCCCTTCCTACAGGTTGAATAGATTTTCCTTAGGACGTGGATGATGATAAATGATGATGTGATATGCCATGGAGAAGCCGATGACTTAATATCTTTAGTTAATCATGAAATGTTTACGTTTCCTTTAAATTAGATTTCGATGGATATTTTGTACAGATATATTCTACGAACATTATTTATGAATAAATTTATCTTTGAACATAGACATGTGTCATAGGAATAAATTCACAAACCACCGTTTACATTATATATATATATATATATATATATATATATATATATATATATAGAAAAAAAAAAAGAAAACAATCTTGTTACATGTATACTTTTTTATCCACATTCATTTATACTCTTTCATATGGCAATATCTACACTCTGAATTTTCAATCCTTCCATCATATCATTGTACATATTTCCTCTACGTAGGGGAGGATGTCATCCTTGTTGTCAACAAGGATGTACATCTAGCTTAATTATTAAAAAAAAAAAAATTGGGGAGACTATTTGGACCAATTAGAACTCTTGGGCTATGGGATTATTATTGGGCCACTTAAAAGTGACGTTTTATGTAATATATATTATATTTTTATAGTTAGAAAACATTCAGAAATTATTAGAGGAAAAAGTAGAATGGTAATTAATTATAAAAGATTAAATGATAATACAATAGATGATGCTTATAATATTCCAGATAAAACAGTTTTAATAAATAAAATTCAAAATTGTAATATTTTTAGTAAGTTTGATTTAAAATCTGATTTTTGGCAAGTAAAAATGCACCCAGATTCAATAGAATGGACAGCCTTCACTAGCCCAGAAGGACATTTTGAATGGTTAGTTATGCCATTTGGATTAAAAAATACCCCTAGTATTTTCCAAAAAAAAAATGGATAGTATTTTTAGTAAACATAATAAATTCATTATTGTTTATATATATGATATTTTAGTATTTAGTAAAAATAGGCGAGAACATAGAGGTCATTTACAAATTCTCTTTTCAGAATTTATTAGACATGGTTTAATTATAAATAAAAAGAAAATGTTCTTATTTAAAGAATTTATAGAATTTCTAGGAGTAAATATAGAAAAAGGAAAAATAGAGTTACAACCTCATATAGCCCAAAAAGCTTTAGATTTTCCACATAAACTTGAAGACCTTAAGCAGCTACAAAATTTTTTAGGATTAGTAAATTATGCTAGACCCTTTATCAAAGATTTGGGAAAAATTGCAGGACCTTTATATGGAAAAACTTCACCAAAAGGTCAAAGATATTTTAATATAGAAGATATTGAATTAGTTCAAAAAATAAAAGGAAAATTAAAAGATTTACCTAAATTATCTATGCCACTAGAAACAGATTTTTTAATTATAGAAACAGATGGAAGTATAACAGGATGGGGAGCAATTTTAATTGCAAAACCCAATAAATATGCAGATAAAGATAGTGAAAAAATTGTAAGATATAATAGTGAAAATTATAAAGAAAAAGGTCATATAAGTAGTATAGATTTAGAATTACTTGCAGTTAATAATGCATTAGATTCTTTTGAATTATTCATTATTTCCAAAAAAAGAAATTATTTTAAGAACAGATTGTGAAGCAATAGTAAGTTTTGTTAATAAAATGAAATTAGAAAATAAAAGAAGTAATAGAAGAAGATGGTTAAATTTTATAGATAGAATTACTAATACTGGATTAGTAATTAATTTTGAACATATTAAAGGTAGTGATAATCAGATAGCAGATATTTTAAGTAGAATAATTAAAAATAAAGAATATGACTGATTATTTCTTGCAGATGCAAAGACCAAGAGGCCCTAGGCCAGGATTGCCAATTGTTGGTAGTTCAAGTTCTCAGACAAATATACTACAGACTCATGATAAGTTAAAATTTGGTAATATAGAATTATTTTATTTTCCAAACAGTAATATTAGTTTTAAGACACTTTCTCATATCTCAGTTACTAAATCAGAAAAATGTATTTTAGACAATTTATGGATATCTTACAATAAGAATCCAAAAGATCAAAAATATTTTTTAGCATATTTAAATGCTCTTTCAGAACACTTTAGTCAAGATCATAAAAAATTTAAGTGAGATGGCATGATTTAAAAAAAAAAAAATGGGATATTATTTTATCAAAAGAAAAAGACATTATTCTTAGATAGAATAATATCCCACAAAAATATGTTGTTTTAAACTACCGATGAATCATTCCGGTAGGTATGCTTTATAGTTCTAAGATATGGTGCTAATAGTTAATATTAGTTCCAGATCTTTTAAGAACAATTTTTGTTCATAAATTTTTATTTTGTAAAAGTTTTATGATTTTTGTAAAGAGTTTTATGTTTCATGCTGAATATATGATAATAGCATGTTTTAACTCCAAGTTAAAAGTTCAAACTGTTTTTAAAATAAGCTCTGAGTGACCTCTCAAAGCGTAAAGGCCCAGTGAAGAGGCTAGGAGACGCATAGAAGAGGGAAAGGGATCACTGTTTTAAGAATTCTTGTTAAGGGAGTGCCAGTGGTGTCCTTACAAGAATGGAGTTTGGCCCAAGTTCATATATCTCAGATGGCATGATTTAAAAAAAAAAATGGGATATTATTTTATCAAAAGAAAAAGACATTTAAATTAAGAAGAGTACTGAGTAGGATTTTTATAATTTATCTTAACAACCTCTTATAACAGCCTTAAAATCCTTGAAATAACCTCTTTTTCAGGGACCCCCCTCTTTTGGTATCAGAGCTTTTGTTTCGGTGCTGGTGATTTCAGAATATTTCTTCAGATTTTGTAAAAGGTATAACTCTTTTAATCTTTAGAAATTACTTACTTGTTTTATGATTTTTAGAATTTTACTTGTAGATCTAGAAAAAATATTCTATAGTTTTACATTTTATAAAGAAATAGAAGAGATTTTTGAATACGGTATAAAATTTATTTCTCTTGAAAAATATAAACCTATAGATTATTTATTTTCTATCTTACATGTAACTAAAGATTTACACC